GCTCACCTCCACCTCCGCGGCCCCCTCCAAGGGGTTCATGGTGGGCGTCGGGGACGGCTGCGAGCGAGGCTGGGCCGGCTCACTGCGCGCTCATTTTGCTTCGCCCGCCTGGAGAGACAAGAGGAGAAGGAGGGGGCGTTAAGTGGTTCAGGTTGTAGTCCTGAGCGGAGCACCAAGATGGCCAGAAAAGCAGCTGCTATCGATCCCTTCTGAATCTGGGCCAATTTAAAAAATGATTGCAAATGTACGCTCAGTCTGACAGCACCTAGTTCATTTTCTTGGTTTCCCGTAATTTCTAATTACACATGTACTTGTTTAATTGCTTACTGGCTTTCTCCCTCCCCCACCCCTGCGACGGGAGGGCCTCCTGCGCCTTTGTTCTCCACGGTGCTTACTATTCAGGTTCCATTTCTGATGCAGGTGAATAAGGAGTGCTACTAAATGGAATGGGCTGATTGACACATTTTCTCTGCTAGGGCAGTGGTTCTCAACCTTGGCTGCACATTAGAATCACCTGGGAATCTTTTTAAAATCCTGATTTCTGGGCCTCATCCTCCGGAAATTCTGTTTCTTTGTTACTAATGTTGTGGCCCCACCCCATAACAAAGAAACAGAATTTCCGGAGGATGAGGCCCAGAAATCAGGATTTTAAAAAGATTCCCAGGTGATTCTAATGTGCAGCCAAGGTTGAGAACCACTGTGCTAGGGGATAATTCTCTATAAACTAGCATCCTAAATAACCTTAGAAACGGTTCTTTAAATAAATTTCAAAGGAAAAAAAATCTCAACATGTTTTGAAGCCATTGCTATCAGCGCAAATAGGCAGCCCATTCTGAGGGAGGCGTCCACCACTAGTGGGTTCTCCTCCTGCTATTCCCGGCGGTTACTCCCACGAGTGGCTTCATTCTCTGGTCCTCCATCCACTAGGAGACTGGACTCATTTCCTACAGCAGGATGTTAACGGCTATTACGCAGGGAAAAGAGGCTCCCTGGTCAAATAAGTTTGGGAAATGCTGACTAAGAGTTGCCATTTCGTTGTGAATATTCATGGGGATGGAGACACAGGATTCAGCATTTCCCAAACTTATTCGTCTAGGAAACATTTTCTACCCCTAGAGGCCAGAGTTCTGACAAATACACTTAAAGAGACACTGACTAGCTCACTTCCCCCATACACTGGATCTAAAATTCCATGAATTACTATTATAGCCAGAACTGGATAACAAGGCCAATCTCTTTACCCATTTCCACCAGAGAACAGGGACTAGGGACTAGGTATAAGAGTGCGTTCCAAAAGCAAGTCTGAGTCTCCATTCACACTTTGATGGATGGTTAATGCTCTGAACAGAAGAGGCAAGTATTAGTGCTGGGGCCCCTTGGTTAAGTGGCCTCCAGTGAGTGGGTCATGGGAAATACAAAACAAATATTCAGTACAACACATGGGCAAGAACACTCTACTCATGCTTCCTTTATAAGGACTCTCTGAAAAAGACAACCGATTAAAGACTCTATTATGTACAAACTAAGTCTGATAGACACAAAACAAGGGTCCACAGAGGAATACTAAGCAGACCAAACACTCCTCCCGGGTACCGCTCCTCTGTGGTGTGTCAGCTCTGTGTGGTCAGAGTTAGAAATACAGTAATGACCATCCGAAGCACCCGGATGGCCAACACTTCATGATAATCACTTGTAGAACTGACCAAGTCACTGTCTTCAGTGAAAATAGATTTTTCTATTTTATATGCATGAGAAAGAAATTTTAATTCTACATTATAATTTTATTTGACCAATCAATGGTGCCCTCTCATAGCACGTGTATTAATTCAAAGGAAACGAAATTTCTACGCAAGTGCATACACTACATCATAGCACGGAAAGTTGCAAGAAACCCATCCTTTGGGGGGAAATACTGTTATAACAATGCAGTCTGGTAATGTGGAGCTTTATATTCACTGAGTACATTTTCCTTATATCCCCTCCCAAGCCTCAGGGGAGTATTTATGCATGGAGTGCTTATATTTCACTTATTGCCATGGTTTCAAGAATAAAGTTTGGGCTGTGGCATTGCCAACATGTTAATTAATAACAGGTATTTACTTGAGGAACTTCCCTAGGACAAACGCAACTAGCAACGCTTAAAGATGGAGCTGACATTGGTGATCATGTCCATAGGAAGCACACGAGAGAATTGTTCCCCATATCCTGGCAATTTTGGGGGTGGTATTTATAAATAGAATATATATATATATATATATATATAACCTTTTTAAAAAGGAATTTGGCAACATGAGTTAAAATCTCCAACATATCTTTGCTCCAGTAATTCTGCTTATAGAAATCTCAGAAACAAAGCAAACAAAAAACCCAACCCTCAGATGTGGACAAAGAAATTTCTCACAGTATTTGCTTTAAAGGCAAAAATTATAAACACGAAATATTAAGCGCTAACATTTATTAAGTACTAGTAAGTACAGTGCTTGCATGTGAATATTATATTGCCATGTAGGGGGAGGTGAGTTTTCTTGCTGAGTAGCATCTCCCCCTTCCCCCTGAGTTCCCGCAGCACTCAAAATCAACCTGCCACAGGCTCCCAAACCTGGGGTTAGGTGATTGCCTGGCCCACATCCTGTATTTCCTGTGTGGGTGACTGGCACTCCCAGCCACACAATTACCCAAGCCCCATGTCCAGGAATCATTACCTACTTGTCTCTTTGCCTCATCTCCTTCCCCAAACTGATGACTGAGTCCATTGTCTTAATAACTCTTGTACCATCCTCACTGTTGCCCAGTCTTGGTCTGTCTTGCTCACACAATTGTTTCCTTGACTAATTTCTCAGCCCCCTGCAGTCCACGCTCCCCACTGCCAGCCTGATGATCTTTCTAAAATACAAACCTCAGTCCTATAAACCTATTTCTCAAACTCTTCAGCGACTCCACTCTAGTGCAAATGCTTAGCCAACTATATACCAGGCACTACTAGGCGTTTTCTACATACTGAGTCATCGAATCCTCACACAAGCCTACAGAGAGAGTACTCTTATATTCTCCTTATAGAAAGTATTATCAGCTCATTTACAAATGAGGATATGGGGCACTGCAGGGTTAGGTGATTGTCTGGGTCACACACCTGGGAAGGGATAGAACTGGTGAATTTTCTGTCTGACCCGCTCTCTAGCTCTAGGCTCCTGGCAAACAAAGCCCTCAGGCCATGTTGCTCCTCAGGCCTCACCTCCACATTTCACTTGCACCCTGTATTCTAATTCCCAGAGTCCTGACACTGGCCCTCACACCTTTCCTATCCTCAGCTGTTTTTTTACCTACAACTTTTCTTTGGTGAATCTTTCTTCTCTTTCCCAGAGCAAATTCATACTTGATGCGTTTCTATTATGTGTTGGCCTCCAGGCAATGTTCCAGGCACTGGGGCAGAGCAGTGACCAAACCAGACAGGCCTCTCTGCTCTCAGGAACCCACCATCGTAGTGCATGGGGCAGGGATGGTGAATGGAAAGGAGAGGAAAGTAGATAACAATTATGTTAATAAATGAACAAGATAACTTCAGTGAAAAGGTTTGGGAAGAAAATAAAACAGGGTAGTAGAGGAGGTTATGTAGACTGTGGCCAAAGGAGGTGATAATGGAGCAGAGGCCTAAATGCTAAAGAGGCAGCCAAGCAGAAAGATCTGAGGGCAAGCCTTGAGGTGAGAAAGGACTTGATCTGTTCAAGGACAGATATAATGTTTGGGAAGTGAGCAAGGGGTGGTGTGGTGGGTGATGAGGACAGAGAGGTGAAGGGGCTGGGTGGGACAGAGCCTGGTACATCAGGGTAGAGAATTTGGATTTTATTTCAAGCGCAGTGGCATGCCGCATGGGACTTATAAGCAGGGGGGTGATAAGGCCTGATTCACCCCTCCCTTTTTCCCCATGGTACTTGTCTATCATATACATCATTATTATAGTACTTGTCATTCTGAGTAACAATTCTTTATAAATATGAAGTCCTTGGGAAAAGAGGACCTGTCATTTATCTTTGACTAGAGGCCCGGTGCATGAAAATTCGTGCAAGAGTAGGCCTTCCTTCCCCTGGCTGCAGGCACTGGCTTC